AAAGAGAGAAAAATCGTTCAAGTATTGGTACATCATGCTTGGTGTCTCCATGGTATTTTGTGTCATGCTGTCGACAAAGTTTTGAGGAAAGTTGAAAGTTCTCGTTATGGTTCACTTTTCTGAGTACCACTTCTCTATGGCTTGACCTAAACGTTGTAAAATGAACACTTGCTCTGATGCAAGTGTGATATATTGCTGATGGCTTGTCGGAACTTGGGCAGCGACAGATGCTATAGGATCATCAACCGAAATATTGTGAATCAGGGGAATGGTTCCTAGTGCAGAATGTGCATATTTTCCCATTTGTTTCCCTACTTTGACCCGTCTTTTTCATTTCACTTTTGTCCTGGTAGGCTCCTATTGGCATTCGGTTATGGTTGCTTTCCCGGGAAGAAGCTGCCAAAGGAAGGGTAAACATATCTTTTCCCAGGGCAAATGTTATTGTTTTTGTATATATAGTTTTGCAGTTTATGTTCATGCCATCGATTACTGCAGATTGTCTTCATAGATCCATTTGCAAAGCGCATTGTGACATCTTCTCATGGTGTCCCACTAGGAGGCATTGGGTATGTTGTCTTCTTTGTCAATGATTTCGGACATCTTGGTTTGTTTCGACGGGAAAAGCTTAGAAGCTACAATCTGCCCCATTGCTTTTACATTGCTGCATTCTCATTTTCTTCAGATCAGTACTTGCAGTTCATCATATTAAGTAGTTCACCGTACAAATTCAAAAAAAGTGGCTGTTGTTATCTCGTTTACATATAGAGCTACACCATCAAGATTTGATAAGCTATTCTAACATGCATTTCATTTGGACGATATGCAGTTCTGGTAGCATAGGAAGGAGTTATAAAGGTGAATTTCAGCGGTGGCAGCTGTTTCCTATGAAATGTGAAGAAGAACCGGTTCTAGCAAATCAATTTTCTGTGAGTCGCGGGTTATTATCAGCTCAGCTTGCTTTAGATAGTTAGATGCTTGTGTTGGCATCCTCTGGAGCTATATATGCTTACTTATAACAGCTATTTGCAAGCACCACCAGCATTTTGACTTTGAAATAGTGCTTGTGAAAAATGGAAACAGAATGATACTGACAGTGATCCATACAGGTTAAGGAAAAAAACTGTTGGAATTAACGGAGTTACTGGTTTCACTGTTGCCCTTGTGTAGCCATAGCAGAGAGTGCTCTCCCTTGTGTGTTTAATCGGTGATTTCACTTTTAACTATTTCTTTACTGCAGGCTTTTGTTTCGCGTGCCGACGGTAAAAAGTACTCGAGTGTTCTGTCTGCCAAGAATCCGAAGATAGGGAAGTAAGAAACAATCGGCTACCGAGTTTGTCTGATACGTATAGTCATTTGTTTGAGATGATGCAGCTGTCACATATTCATACAGAAACGAGGCAGAGACTGGAGTTGGTTCTTGGGACTGGAATCTTAAAGGAGACAAGACTATGTATCACGCATTGTACCCGAGGGCTTGGACAGTTTACGAGGGTAATACACTGTATATAATTTCGTATATGCTGATATTGCCTTCATGTTCATCATGCACATGATATCACATTCACCATTGTTTATGCTGTAGGTGAACCTGACCCGGAGCTTAGGATTGTTTGCCGTCAGATTTCACCCTTTATTCCCCATAACTATAAAGAAAGCAGCTTTCCAGTTTCTGTCTTCACTTACACTGTAGGTTTCATTCCTTTCCACTTTGTTTTTTTTGGAGAGCTTGCCGTTGTAGTGATGAATTTAACTTGGCTCCTTATCCCTCAGCTTCACAATATCGGAAAGACTGCCGCCGATGTGACTTTGCTCTTCAGTTGGGCTGTAAGATACTTATTTCATTGATGCATCGTTATGACGTCCTTTTTATGGTTTTCGAATCAATTCCTCTCCTTTGTTGAATCTACGATCTTAACAAGTTTTCTTTGTTCGTTCCAGAATTCTGTTGGAGGGGACTCTGAGTTCTCAGGTGGTCACTCCAACTCCAAGATGATGTAAGGATAGATCCTATATTTTCTTTTCTCTGTTCTTTCCCTTCCTATCCATCCATCCATTTCTTTTCCCAGCAGCCTTCCTTCCTTCTTTGCCTTTGTAAGAAACTTTCCTTAACTTTTTTCGTTTGCGTATTTGTTTCATTAGGATGAAAGATGGGGTTCAGGGTGTGCTATTACACCACAAGTAAGTCCTTTTCACATCTTTTCGTAAATCAGCAAAAGAGGAAAGGAGTTGATCTCTGATTGTTTCATTCAAACTCTGTTGCCCGAAACACAGAACAGCACATGGATCACCGTCATTGACTTATGCAATTGCAGCTCAGGCGAGTGACGGTGTACATGTCTCGGTCTGTCCATGTTTCACGATATCGGGAAAGCAGAAGGGCATCACAGCCAAAGATATGTGGCGCGCCATCAAAGAGGTTGCTACATCTCCCCACTCTTCTACATGGATGCTTGTAACTTAGATTCCTCTTTTACCGAACAAGATTTTAGAAAATCCGATATGCTTTGACTGGTATATGTAGCTCGGGAAGATCATTCCACCGAAAACACTGATGTGTTCCTCTGCTTACCAACATTCTCATTCTTTTATATGATTTATCATTCCTCAGTACTGATCATGTTGTTGTTACAGAATAGATCTTTTGACCGCCTTGAGGCTGCCGAGGCATTGACAGAATCCGAACAAGGGTCGTCCATAGGGGCAGCAGTAGCAGCTTCCGCCAAAGTCCCAGCTGGAGAGACATGCACTGTCACGTTTTCTCTGGCTTGGGACTGCCCTGAAGTTCAATTTCCCAGCGGCAAAATATATCACAGGTAAGTTAACATGTCAAGGACTTGGCTGAATATGATGACACAAACTTCCCAGTACTCTCAACAGATGCTCTTGCAGGCGCTATACAAAATTCTACGGCACTCATGGCGATGCTGCCGCTCAAATTGCACATGATGCTCTTCTGGGTAACCGTTTCCAATTCTTGAATGATTTGTTTCGCATTATAGGTTAAAGTTTAGACCTTTCGGCTCCTATTTTGCACTCTCTCAAGCTTTAACTGTCTGTATGAAACAGGGCATGGTCAATGGGAGTCTGATATAGAAGCCTGGCAAAGACCGATACTTGAAGACAAAAGGCTACCAGAATGGTGAGCTCTGTAGTTTCAGTTCCCAAATCGCTTCACTCAAACCTCTAGAAATTGCTCATTTAGCTTCTTTTTATTGTATTTAGGTACCCCATCACTCTCTTCAATGAGCTCTATTACCTTAACTCTGGAGGAACCGTTTGGACAGGTAACTAGAACAAAACAGTTCGAGATCGTTCTCTTAAGTTTCTTGACTTCATGATCCGAAGTTCCAATGTTGTTCTCTCTGATTCTGCAGATGGGTCGCCCCCTATCCGTAGCTTGGCAGCCATTAAAGAAAGGCAGTTCTCCCTTGATAAATCCCAGCTCGGTTTGAAGAGCATCATCGATGATGTACCTCATCAGAACAATACAGCTGTTAGTGTTCTTGAGCAGATGGTTTCGGCCCTGGAGCAATTGCACTCCCCGACCACCTCAAACTCCGTCTTTGGCACGAAATTACTCCAGGAAGGAGAAGAGAACATTGGCCATTTCCTTTATCTCGAAGGGATCGAGTATCATATGTGGAACACCTACGACGTTCACTTCTATGCGTCTTTTGCGCTGGTGATGCTATATCCGAAACTCGAACTTAGCATCCAAAGAGACTTTGCTTCTGCAGTGATGATCCATGACCCCACCAAAGTGAAAACTCTAAGCGAGGGACAATGGGTTCCAAGGAAGGTTCTCGGCGCAGTTCCTCATGATCTCGGCATCAACGATCCGTGGTTTGAAGTGAATGGGTATAATCTTCATAACACGGATCGGTGGAAAGACTTGAACCCGAAATTCGTCCTCCAGGTTTACCGTGATGTGGTTGCAACGGGCGACAAGAAATTCGCACTAGCAGTCTGGCCTTCTGTTTATGTTGCAATGGCCTTTATGATGCAGTTTGACAAAGACGGGGACGGGATGATCGAGAATGAAGGGTTTCCCGACCAAACGTACGACACTTGGTCTGCCTCGGGAGTGAGCGCATATAGCGGGGGACTCTGGGTGGCTGCATTGCAAGCCGCATCAGCGTTGGCACGAGAAGTTGGTGACAAGAGCTCGGAAGACTACTTCTGGGTCAAGTTCCAAAAGGCAAAAGACGTGTACGAGAAGAAGCTATGGAATGGATCATATTTCAACTATGACAACAGCGGTGGCCAATACAGCTCGTCTATCCAAGCTGACCAACTCGCTGGCCAATGGTTCGTAACCCGAATCCTCAAAGACTTAAAATCTTACAGGACGCGGTAATGCTGACTCACTCTAACGTTCTGCAGGTACGCCCACTCGTGTGGGCTGATGCCCATTGTTGATAAAGACAAAGCAAAAAGCGCGTTGGAGAAGGTCTACAACTTCAACGTGATGAAGATCCAAAATGGTAAGCGTGGAGCGGTAAACGGGATGCATCCTGACGGGAAAGTTGATACAGCATCGATGCAATCACGGGAAATATGGTCAGGCGTTACTTACGCGCTAGCTGCGACAATGATTCATGAAGGGCTCGAAGAAATGGCATTTCAGACAGCGAACGGCGTTTACGAAGCTGCATGGTCTCAACGCGGGCTAGGGTTAGTTTCCATACCTTTTTGTCTGGAACATAACAATGTTGTTGCATCTCTGATTGGTCTGTCCACCATCTCTATATTCGACAGTTACTCGTTCCAGACGCCGGAAGCTTGGAACACAAACGATCAGTACAGATCTCTGACTTACATGCGGCCTCTCGCCATATGGGCGATGCAATGGGCACTCACCAGAACGAACCAAACCCATCGTGAACTAGAGCTGAAACCCGAGGCCAGTTCTCTACTGAAGCATGATCTCGGGTTCTCCAGAGTGGCTAGGCTTCTGAAGATGCCAAAGGAAGCATCACCCAAAGGAACAATACAGACTCTGTTCGACTACACCTGCCGAAGAATGCTGGGATAGCAAATGCATCAGTATTTACTCAAACACCGAACTCTCTGCTAAACTTATTTTATAGATATGATTCTCACAACATTGAAATTTCTATTCTTCAAACCCTAAAAGCATACAATGAATAATGTACTTGGGATTTCATACGTATGGAAACAACAAGATGTACCCGTAGCAATAATTTCAAAGTGAAATCAATCCGGGGCTCTCCAGAAATAAGACAGAACATGAAAGTTTTGTTACAAAAGATGTCCATTAAGATTTTGGCAAAACATAAAAAAGTAAAACAGTGTAGGAGTGCAAAACTCGAACCGAGGGAGATCAAACTCAGTAACCACCCTTGAGATCGTTGACGACATCGTACGGAATGGGTGTAACAGTCTCCAAGGTGGCGCCCTCGACCATGAAACCGGGCTTGGGGCCTTTGGGTTGTCTCTTGGTGCTGATGGTTTCGCCTCTTGCCTTGGCTTCCGCTTTCAACTGATCGTTCTTTTGTTTCCTGAGCTTGAATTCTTCGTCACACCTCGATTGCTGGACATGCTCGATCCGGACATGGATCCTCTTCCTGATAATCCTGTTACCGACCTGGAATTTCGCCAAATATCAACACCCTAGAGTTTAATAATCAACATGCACAACTAACACAGGAAGTATAACTTCCAATGGCAACCCCATTGCATCAAGATGACTAATAAACACAACGAACAGTGTACCAAAAATTAAAACTTTGTTGGACCAAAGACTTCAAAAATAAAAACTAAAACAAGGTAGACAAAACCAACATGAAATGTAATGAATCCACTTAACTCATTCCCCAAAGAGCTCCTCATATGATGTCAAAAAGATTACAACAGCCTAAAAAACCCTAAATACAAAAAGATTTCAACTTTACGGAATCCGAAATTCAGAAATGAAAACTAAAACAAGGGACACAAATCCTTTCTCAAAAGAATATAATTCAACTTGATCAAGTGGAATATTACCAGACCGGACAAAAGGACATGCAGAAACTTACAACTCTATGAACCAAAGTTCAGAAATGAAAGCCTGAACAAGGGCATACACAATACCCAAACTTTCAGATCAGCACATGCAAATCAACAAGCATAGAAACCCTAACAGATTCAAAACATACAAATTCAGAGCAAGAAAACTACCTGTTTGTTGACTTCGACACCGATGGCGCGCTTGGTTACATTCCAGACACGACCCGTGCGTCCGTGATAGAACTTGTGGGGCATGCCCTTGTGAACAGCACCATTAACCTTGACATCGACGTAGTCGCCGATCTTGAAGGTCCTGAGATAAGTCGTCAATGGGATGTAACCCTTCTTCCTGAACGGACGGGCAAAGAGATCTCTTGTCCTCGCCCTAACACCATGACCCGCCGGCATTTTTTTTGGATCAGCGAGTCCTCTCCGAAGCTTCAAGTAGGGGATTTATAATGTTTGTGTTTAATTTAATTTAGGGTTCTCTAGTTTTTGTGGATAAATGGGTTTCATCTGGTGAATTTAGGGTTTTGGGCTAAATGGGCTTTTCCTTTGGGCTGTCATTGTTTGGGCTCGCTTTAAAAAGTTTGAAATTTCAGTCTACCGTCTGCAAAAAAAAAATTTAATATTTTTTTTTTCCTTTTCATAAAATCTGTTATTTTACTTCCGCTAGGGTTTTGATACGGTAATGAATAGTTGGGAAGCATTTTATTGTGAAATTGATTTGTCTATGTGAAATTGTAAATAAAAAATTGAATATACAAAAAAAAAGGAATTATCATGTGTTTGCTAACACGGTACGGGTGCACAAAACATAACATGGTTAGTGAACAGTGGCGATCCATAATTATAATGATGAATATTCCAAATTTTTATAGGGGTACTATTTAAATTTGTATTAAAACGATAAATAATGTTTAATTTTTTAAAATGATAATAGAAATAATTATATATTTTTTTGGGATGAGAGTGGGGCATTACCCCACTTGGTAACAAGGGGATCTGTCCATGTAAGCGGGTATAGTAGAAAAGTTTCCAATACATGAAGTGTGTATTATTGTAGATAAATTTTACTTTACAAAAGGTTGGTTCAAGAATTTGAACTCTAAGATAAACAAGTAAAATAGAGATCCAAATCGTTTATTTCATCCCAAGTTCGAGATTCAAATAGAGGAAGAATAACTTTCTCTCAATCCAATAATTAGTGTGGGTCTCAACTCAAAACACCCGTTTATCCAAAAAAAATTGAACCATAACTTATAGTATACTCTAAACGTCGCAACGTCAACACTTCACAAGAACATTATTTGGATTGGTTTTAAAAAAATAACTACTTTTAATTTGATAAATAATATATCAGATTTACACGGTAAGAAGTCATTTTCTCATTACTTTGACTCTCTCATCTTCTTTTTATATTGGCATTACTATAGTGGGATTTCAAAGGCATAGTCTTTATTTTTCAAAAATATCCAGAATTAGTTTTACTCTTAAAATTTACAGCAATTTTCTATACACGTGCAATATTTCAACATCTTAATCCGTCTATCCCTTGATCCTACTCATTCTTTTCTCTTACGTATATTTTCTCTCTTGAAGCCATGCATTCCATTGTTTGGTATTATATAAAAAATACCCTTATTTTGCTATTTTGACTTCAACACATACCCTTCTTCAGTTGTGACCATGTGACACATGTGACCCAAAATATAGTATGATCATATTTTTATTTTACTGATTATAACGTTAAATTTATGGTGATCATACTAATTTATTGTTCAGTCCTTGTATATCTTACTAATTATTTGATTAAAACATCATAAATTTAACGTTATGAGCAATGAGATCAATATGTGACCACACTATATTTCGGATTACATGGGTCACATGGTCACAACTGAAGAAGGGTATGTGTTGAAGTCAAAATAGCAAAGTAAGAGTATTTTTGATAATGTCCCTTTGTTTCTCCGTTTTATAACTTCAAATTGATATAATTACTCCACACTTCAATCTATTTTTTTTATCATTATCTTCTCCTAATTTGATTTTATCTTCTATAGTTACAATATCTTCAACTTTTATCTTTATCTATATAACTTCCATCGTTATCTTCTTTTGATTTTATTTTATCTCTTATAAGAACCATATCTCCTCATCTGGAATCCTACTTGGTCAGACCAATGCTGCCATTCTCACGTTGGTCCATGAGGCAAGGAGCAAATACTGTTTACAAGATAATCTCCACTCTTCTTCCAAAACGTCTGAAACCACTATTACAATAGCTGATATCTCCAAACCAAACAACTTTTTTAAAAGATCAGTTAATCCCTGAGAATATTCCGCTGGTGATAGAGCTTGTTCGAGACTACAAATACAGAGGAAGTTCATCAAGTGCCATGATAAAAATTGATATTCGGAAAGCATTTTATACGTTATCATGAGACTTTCTCCTAGGAGTACTACAAGCACTTAACCTCCCAAGCAGATTTATGAATTGGATCAAGGAGTGTATCACCGCGCCAAAGTTCTCCATCGGCATAAACGAGGAGCTTGCTGGATATTTCAAAGGGCGAAGATGTTTACGTCAAGGAGATCCCATCTCTCCATATCTATTTATTCTATTGATGGAAATTTTCACAAGGATGCTTGATCGGGGAGCAATTCAAGGCCGATTCAGAACTCATCCAAGATGCAGCCAACCACTAATCACCCACCTCACATTTGCAGATGATGTCATGATTTTCTACACAGGTGAAGTTCAGTCAATCCGAGAAGTGGTTACAATTCTGGAAGAATTCAGTAAGGGATCAGGACTGGCCATGAACACAAGCAAGTAAAAAATGTTCTTAGGGGGAATGGACCATCATCAAGCACTCAGGATTGTGTCAACACTTGGAATCCGATTGGGATCATTACCGGTTAAATACATAGGAGTTCCACTAACCCTGACAAAGCTGAGTCGGACGGACTACCAGCCACTCATCGATAGGATTCAGGCTAAACTTACAGCTTGGAGCACTAGATTTTTGTCATATGCAGGCAGAATCCAATTGATCTCTTCAGTAATCTGTGGGATTGTTAACTCTTGCAGCATGATATTTGCATTGTCGCGGTTCTTTCTCAAGCAAATGGATATTCTATGTTCGAACTTCTCATGGAAAGGAAACCAACAACAACCTGGAGGCCATAGAATATCGTGGGATGTCATCTGTAAGCCGAAGAAAGAGGGAGGACTTGGGCTACGTAAATTAGAGGAATTCAACACAGTTTTCTGACTTAAGCTGATTTGGCTAATATTCACCAAAGCAGGTTCTTTATGGATGGCTTGTATCCAAAAGGATATGATCAAGACATCGAGTTTTTGGAGCTAAAACCATCAAGTAGATTCTCTTGGATACTTAGGAAGCTGCTGAACTTGAAAGACATAGCAAGTAAGCTCCTCAAAACGAAGATTGGAGATGGTAACTCAACAAGCTTTTGGTATGATAATTGGACAGGCAAGGGACCCTTGATTGAGCTAGTTAGAGCGGAAGGTCCAAGGTTGTTGCGTGTTCCAAGAAAAGCTTCAGTTGCTCAGGCAGCACCCACGGGTGCGTGAGTCTTTTTAAGAGCTTGTTCAGAGGCAATCCAAAGCGTCCAAATTATAGTCTCAACTATTCTTCCCCCTCAGGCTTCAGGTGGAGCTGACAAGGTGCTACGGAGACATGACGAAGGAGAGCACAAATCCTGGTTTTCTTCGGCAAGAACTTGGAAACAAATTCGCACATCAAGGCATTAGGTTGCTTGGTATAAATATGTTTGGCTACCAGTGACTATCCCAAGGCTAGCTCCTTTACAAAGGCAAATCATGATGGTCCGTCTTCCGACTAAAGATCGTCTCACACGTTGGGGACTGCAGATAGGCGTGACTTGCTCCCTGGTGGTTTGTTTGACGAAACTCGTTCTCGTCTCTTCTTTGACTGCCTATATAGCGCAGCTCTGTGGCAACACTTTACGGGTTACTGTTGGGACTCTCCACCGGCAGATATTGCTTTGTTCCATGCATGGAGCACTAGGCAAGGAAGGACTCAAGACAAGAACAGAAGTTTGATCTCGAAACTTTTATGTCAGGTAACATTAGATGTCCTATATGGACCGAGAGGAATAATAGAATATTCCGCGGGACTACCAGCGGAGTTACAACGGACAAAAACACGCTGCCATTTACTCGAGGATTGGTATTATTTAACTAAAGGCCTTAGTTAGAGTTAGATATCTATTAAGATCATTGCGTATGGGAATCCAAGTCTCTTTATAAATTCATTTTCTGTTTTACAAACTGATGTAGTCTTGTTTTTTTTGGTATTAATACAATCACATTCAACCGAAAAAAACCCATATCTTCTTGATTTTTCTACGCATCAAAAATCATAACAAATCTCATTAAAATTCATTTTTTATTAAGAAATTTTCTGATACCCTAAAATTGACATGCATATATTCATTATAAATATGTATATATGAATATAGATATAAATACGTGTATCATTTTTTAATCTAAACATGGTTTTAATTGGTGGAAAAATATTTCAAAAATTAATTAATAAAGTTTTATAATTATTTAAGGAAAAATTCCAAAAAAAACTTATATTTTTCCTCGTTGAAATTTAAGTTTTATACTTTTTTTTTTTTATCATATTAAGCCCTGTATTTTATGATATCTAATAATAAAAAATATATATACTTTAGAAAATTAACAAAGACACAAAATTGACTAGTCAATTCTTATTCATCCGAACATCATCTACAATATAAAATTTAATAATAGTCGAGGTGGCTGAGCTCCAACAGTGTAATGGCGATGTTGGACTCCAAGCTCTCAAATATTGATCCGAGTTCTTATTGGACCGGGTCGATCCAATCCAAGTCAAGGATAGTCAAATGTATATGTAGAATTAATTTACTTTATATGATTTCTTATATCATTGTAATTAAATCTAAATAAAATATAAAATTACTATTTAATCGAATAAAAAATGTTTTTAAAATATTTTTTTTTGAATAAAATCTTGAAAAAATTCATAATAAATCTGAAAAGATTATATAATTTGATCGTTTAAACTTTTAGAAATTGTCAAGACAAATGTTTAAAATCTATCCTTTTATAATTCGTAAATTATGACATCTACAATATTTAGTTAAAATTGTGATAAACCCTTGTATTTATTTTGATCTTCTTATATTTAACCACTGCCACCCTCATCAATATTATGGCTGGGCACGGGTCGGGTATCCGCGTTTTTGGAGATACCCGTCTTCGTTTTCGTCTTCGCGGGTTTTAGAAAAATGCTATCTCTGTCTCTATCTCATAACATTCGGATACCCGTCCAACGGATACCCATAACTAAAAGACGGGTATCCGCAAGTACCCGTACCCGTATATAAAATATTAAACAATATAAAATTAAATTAAATAATCAATAAAAATATACATATTTTATTCCAAAAATATATTTTAAGTTTGAAAATTCTTAAAATATAATAATATTATATAAAATTAAATTAAATAATCAATAAAAATATACATATTTTATTCCAAAAATATATTTTAAGTTTGAAAATTCTTAAAATATAATAATATTCATAGAATCCTAGAAACATTTTAAAAAATATACAATAATTTGAAGTTGAATCCATCAAAACTTGAAAATCCAATATATAGTCCTAAAGGTAAGTAAAATTACCTAAGTATTTTCGAAATTATATTAAAAACATAAGGTTAATTTTGTAATTTTAATATGGTACCCGTTATTTCAATATGTAAAACCCGAACACGAACCCGTATGACGGGTATTCTAGTTTTTAATATTCGTTTTCGTCTTCGTTGGGTGTCGAGTACCCGTTTTTCGGATACCTACGAGACCGGGTACCCGCTTACCCGCGGATAACGGGTTTAAATGGCCAGCCCTACATGTATATATATACACATATATATTTGTATATATATAAATATATATATATATATGTATATATTTTATGTATGTATATATATGTATGTGTGTATATATATACATGTATATATATGTGTGTATATATTTATAAGTATATGTATGTATATATGTATGTATGTATGTCTAAGTGCATATACAAATATATATATATATATATATATATATATTATATGTGTGTGTATATATATACATGTATGTATATATATGTAATTTTTATTTTTAAATTATTTTATTTTTATTAATATTATTATTTTTATGATTTTATTATTTAATATTATTAAATTCTATTAAATCCTGTCAAATGATTACGAAAAAATATTTGCAGGTAATGTTTTCAACATAGTTGACTAGTCAATTTTGTGAAGTACATTTATTTTATTATTATATATATTATAAATATAAGATAGATAAAAAAAAGTATAAAGTTTAAATTGCGAGAGGGGAAAATATAAGTTGTTTTTTTTTAAAAAAAATTCTAATTATTTAATTGTTTTATCATTTAATAGTAAATATATTTTTTTAAAATTTATTAGTAACAATAAATATAATATCTAGTTTAATAATTTATATAATATTAGAATAGCAATTTATTAACCCATTAATTTAATTCGCTATAATGGCCAACAAATGCCAGTTAAAACATCTACAGTAGCAGAAAAGAAAAAGAATGTCTATTAATATCTATCTATCTATCTATTATTATTATTATTATTATTATTATTATTATTATTATTATTATTATTATTATTATTATTATTATTATTATTATTATAAGCATTTTGATACAGTCAATCTTCTGAATCTAAATTCGAATATAAAAAAAAAATCATCATTAGTTTGATCGTTTTATCCAGCTTTTGTCTTAACCTGTGCATAATAAATTGAAACAAATATTTTTTTTTAGTAATTAAAGAAAAGAAATTGCCATGCAATCAAGCTAGATCTAAACAGATAAAATCAAATCCGAATTTGTTGTAATCTAATTCCGGGATTTCCTCAAAACCGAACTACCTGACCGTTATTTATCGAGCGTATCTTTCACAACCGTTCTCTCCCAGTCCCGAGTTCTCTCTCTTCTTTGGGGCCTCGCCTTTGTCACCTGTAAGTTCCTCTTCGTCGGTCGGAACCTGGATTGTCTGTTCGAATCGAATCTGTCTCTGCTTAGTTTCTGGTTGCCGTGTGTGTTCATGTGTCTCTAATTCCGTTCCGGGAGTTTCTCTTCGAATTGGCGCTTTGTTTTGTTCCGCGTAATTCATCTGATCAAATTTCTCTTGCTGAATGTATATTCGATTTGTTTTTTTTTTTAAATTGACTGTATATTAGACTATGAATGATGATAATTTTTGTCTTTGGTTCTTGATTTTAGTTAGTCTAGTTTTTTATTTTTGGTTTTCATAGTTTTTATAGCCATTGAATGGCTATAGTTTTATAGGATTTTCGAATCTAAAACCCTAAACAAAATTCAGTAAAGATTTTGTATATTTAGTTTTTCTAAAATGGCAGATAACTCAAGATAAAGTTTACTTTTGTTGTTCGGACTGTGAGTTGAAGTTCATAAATTGAAGAGCGTTTTTGTGAGAATCGCAATATATATATATATATATATATA